AATGTAAATAATTAAAAATCCATTATAATATGGGAGGGACAAAAAGTAGATGATTTTCTCGCGTTGTGTTAAATTAATTAACTACTAACGGAGGCTAGCTAATATGCTATACTTTATAATATTATAATAAACAAGCAAGATGAATCTTTGTTATATATTTCTACTCTTCAAAGGCGCACCTACCAATTCCCAAAAATATGTTAGTTTTCTTGACACAGTGATCAAATAAATATTCACGCTTGTTGATTATTGCTAAAAAGTAGATGATGGGGGGGGGGGGGGAACTATGTTCCATTTTCGTTGATATCATTATAATTTTTATATAATTGGCTTAGGCTACTCCTTTTTATTATAAAAAGAATATTTGTGATAATATCTTATCATAATCTAACTTCGTTTTTATAAAATGGTGACTTTAAATTAATTAAAACCAGCTATTCTATCTGTTCAAAAATATAAAGTATTTTTTAAAGGATTGAATATTAAAAAATATAAGACATTTTGAATATTTTAAAGTGTAATTATTATCTTTTTTTAAGTGTCCTTATTAAATAAATTATTTTATATATTTTTTGGATGAAACACTTTATTAAATAAAGGTAAATATAAAAAATAAAATTAATTTAAAAATAAATAATTATTTTATTAAAGTATAAAATTTAATTAAAAATGCAAATAACTACCAATGTACCTGAGCCTTCACTTGGTGGCGTTGAATTAATGGGAAAACGAAAGCGATGATACGATTACACAACGTTTGTATCAATTTTTTTAATTGAAGCGGCGCTTATTTTTTATTTATTAACAAATTTCATGAATTTATTTGAAAAGCAAATTTCATGAAATTATAATTTATTAGTATTTAAACTTGCAGGAACCAAAACATCAACAGTGGGCGTGCCGGAGTGGTTATCGGGCATGACTAGAAATCATGTGGGCTCTGCCCGCGCAGGTTCGAATCCTGCCGCTCACGGCTTTTCAGAACTTCACTAACGATATGAGGCTGATTAACAGTTGTTTTTCATCAAATTGAATTTTAATCTATTATTATGTGACCAGGGAAATTGAAACGCCCCATATTCTTCGTTTATTTGGGCCGGCACTTTTATTTGGGTCTGGACTTATTTTTTGGTATGAATGTGGGCACAGCCCTACTATTATGGGTCTTGACTTATTGTTTTAATCCATTCTCGATTTATTCAGGATTCTTGTTAGATATTAACTTTTTTAGGCATTTTTTATTAATATTCTTCCATCTCATTTCTCTACTCATCGTGCAAATTTTGGGATTAAGTTATTTTTTGGCTGATAACAGAAATTGAAAAAAAAACTTAGGTACCTGGATCTATTTAGTTAAGGTTCTTTATATTAGTTAAATGAGGGCAAGCAGATTTTTTTCATGAATTGTTTAATTATTTATTTTGTAACTAATTTTTATTATTAATATTGTTATCTTACTTTTAAAGCATGCCTGAGACTATGCGATAGAAAGAAATGGAGGAGCAAAATGGAGTGGGAAGAAGTGAAGTAATACAAAAATATTTTATTATTTATGAATTTTATTGAAAGAATGAGTAATTTTATTTAATCATTATTTCAGAATTATTATAAACTTGACCCCTTAAATTAGGGGTTAAGAAAAAAATGAATTTATTATAGCTTGCAAGAGTAAGGCCGCTCCAAGCCATCCCAATTTTTTTTTTTAAATTCTTTTAATTATTGTAGTATAAAAAATTGTAGTCATTCCAGCCCATTCTATTATAAAAAAGAAAAAAGAAAAACTCCAAAACTCTACCTTAAATTTGAAGTTCATATTTTCAAACCTGATTTGATAAAAATATCTTAGATATACTTCAGCCTTATCTCAAGTAAAGTGCATGACTTGGCCTTGGATGCAAAAGATACCAGTGTTTCGAAATAGCCAAGCATTCAACCGGCCAATGTGTGCTACTGTTTATTTTATGTTTGTTTCAATAAAAATGCATTAGATAGCTAGTAATTAACCATGAAATAGGTAATTAAAATATGTGTTTTATTAATTTGTACAATAACCTCACCAATTTATGGACTTTGATTTTCTAGCACTCATCTCAATTGTTCATGCAACAATCCTTCATTTCTCTAACAATGCATTTGTACTTTCTTTGGCAGCAGCTTTTTTCTAGATCAATAGATCTTATTCTATGCAAATGCACGTAATAATATATGCTTGCTTTAAGTTCATAGAGGGAACATGGTCAACATAATCAAGTAATTAAAATATGTGTTTCGTTGATTTGTCCAATAAATTCATCTATTTATGAATTTTTTAATTTTCAATACTTATCTTAAGGATGTGTTAATTCATTCATAAAATGTGATTTTCTCCTTATTAATTTTGTGACTAATACAAAGGTATTGAAATTTTTTGTCCTTTAGGGTGTGTTTGGTTGGGTGGAGGGGAGCCCTTGAGGAGAGGGGAAAACAAATTCTTAAATTTTTTTTCCCCTCCCCTCCCCTCCTTTCCCTCCCCTTCTCCTGAACTAAACAAATCCTTAAATTTTTTTTAATTACTGATTTGGTTTTTCAAGTTTAATATTTATTAATTTTATTTCTTGAATTTACTCAATTATTGTGTTAATCCTCTAGATTTTAAAATACAAATTAATTCTCAAATTAATTTAGTATTTGAAGTATGTTGATGACTTGTATAATGTATATACATGTTATTAAATCAAAACAAGTCAAAATACACAAAACCATCTGATTTTCTTAAGAAAAAATTAATTTTTTACTCCTTCAACTTTTAACTCACTTATAACTCAGTCTCTTAATTATAATTCATTGCAACTCAATCCCTCAACTATAATTCATTGCGACTTAATCCCTCAACTTTTGATTCACTTATAATTCAATCCTTTTTTAATTTTTTTAAAATTTTCTTATCAAATAAAAATGATAAAAGAAATGCTTGTATATTATTCTAAAATACTTTTTTTTGCTCTTTGATGTGAAATTTAAGTTAACATGAAAAAAGAGAATTAAAAAAAATTGAGGGACTAAATTGTAAGTGATTTAAAAGTTGAGGGACTGAATCACAGCGAGTTAAACTTGAAGAATTGAATTACAAGTAAATTAAAAATTGAAAGAGTAAAAGATTAATTTTTGCTTTTCTTAATTTCCTTTATTTGATGACTTGTGAAAATAAGGTAAAAAAAAAAGAAGCTCGTGTAACTTGTGAACAGTTAATTAATTAGCCATGTATCTATGTTAAGTCATTAACTGACTTTACATATTAGAGTTGCAAATATGGATAAAGTTATATGAGTTAGTCAAAATAATTTGTTATATAGGTAACTTATTATATAGGTTGGGTTAGTTTGCAAAATACTTGGCTTAGGTAAAAATAAAAATTTTTAACTTGAATCATTCAGGCCATGAACCAAATGGTTCAACCCATATCGATTAGGGTTGACTCACTTGACTCATATTGATAAAAAAATATGATAGAAAAGAGAAAATGTCCAAAATTCTAGCACCACTCATTGAAGAAGAAGAAGAAGAAAACAAGATTGAAAAATAAGAAAAAAAAAACTCAATCCATATTTCTTTCTAAGTTGTCCAACACCTTCCTCTTGTGTTTGATTATTCATGCCTTCTCTTCCTCTAAGGCAACCTTTACTTTTGACTCCTTACTCACTTCTCACTTCTGAATTTTGATAAGCATGGCATGATTCATATTTTATTTTGGGATTTATGGTTGGTGGATCTTAAATTATGATGGATAATTATATTTTTGTTTTGATGTCTTTTGATTTTTATTTTATTAATATAAATAATTATGTTACTATATGAATTTTAAATTGCATGTCATATTGACATGTATCATCTTCGTATGAAAACTTTTAATTTTTTTAAAAGTTAAATAAGGTGGTGGGCTGATCCATTTAATTTACTAACCCATATGGTTTGGGTTAAGTTGAAATTTTCACAACTCATATAAAAATAGACCATACACAATTCAACTTATTTTTCCTCTAACCCATTTTTATCAAAGCATGTAGTCTAGGTTAACCCATATTCCCATATTTACATATATACTTGTTATATTAATTTAAGAGTCAATTTGAAATTCAAAATTTAGAAGATTAATGCGATATCTTAAGAAAACATGAGGGATTAGATTGATACAAATTAAATTTAAACAACCAAGTTGATAATGAAATTAATTCCATGGACTGAAATTTTTATGATTGATGTATTACAATGGGTTGCATTGAAAATCGTTAAAACCAATCCTCCTCTTTCTCCCTTGTTTTGGATTTTTTTTTTATATTTTAACATCAAACTTCTTCTTTTGAACTCAACCAAGCCTTTTAAATGAGAAAAGAAAAATATATATTGAAATGCTCAATCATTTAAAAATTTCATGTAAAAAATACTTTAAATAATCAATATGATTATTAAGTGTTATTTTATATAATATAAGAATTTAAAAATTATTACTAGTATTAAAATTTTTAAAATATAAATAATGGAAATTTTCTAAAAATTCTGTGAATTTGATAATAATTTTAATTTTAAAAAATAATAATATTTTTATGAACTTTCAATATGGTAAGTTGTTTTTATTATTGTTGTTGATGTTATTATTAATAGTAAATACTCCTTTCATTTAAAAATATAAGATATTTTTAATTAAATTTTACTTTTTAATAAAGCAGTTACTTACTTTTTAATTAATCCTATCTTTTCATATTTATCCCTATTAAACACTCTATAATAAATATAAAGTTACTATCAACAAGGACACTTTTAAAAAAAAAGATAATGATTATACCTTGAAAAAATAAAAATGTCTTACCTTTTTTAACATCCAATTTTTTAAAAAATATCTTATATTTTTAAATATTTAACCTTTTAAAAAATACCTTATATTTTTTAATGGAGAGAGTATTAATATTTGTTTAAAAAATAGTGAATATTAATATTTTCATGTTCAAATTGACAAATAGGCCGATAGCAACGAAGACGAACAGGCGAAAAACGGTATATCATATCTTCTGTGGACGAAAAGGAACCGAAGAAGAGAACATCGGTTAGTTTTTTTTTTTTTTTTAATTTTTTTGGCCAGAGAGAACATCGGTTCGTTACATTTGCACTTCTGCAGAGGGCTTGGAAACTGGAACCCTAGTGGGCTAGCGCGCTCTGTTCTCGGCCCTCTGATTCGCACTCACCCGCACTCACCCATGGCTGCGTTGGAGCCTAGGAATACGCCGAACCCGAGCTCTACCCTCACAGTGCCCCGTCCAGACCAGCCTTCTTCTTCATATTCTTTACCTCAGCCTGAGGCCTCGGTTCCTGCTCCGTCTTCGTCTGAACCGGGACCTTCTACGCCAGCTCGCCTCGCCTCGCCGGAGCCTTCTGGCGCTCGTGAGTTTTTTCCCGTTTTCTTCCCTGTTTAGTTTGCTTGCTCAGAAAGAGGATTGATATTGAGCTGTGAAATTTTGTATTTATATGGTTGAAATTGTACTGTTCCATTTCCAAGGAGTCTTTGATGTTGGGGATTTGTTTTGATACGGGGACTTACTTTGTTTTTCTAATTTGTATAACTGATCAGATCTTTTTTTAATGTGCTCGTATATTTTTGTCATCAAATAAAATTCAAAAGCTATGTTTTATTTTTTTTATTACTTTGTGAAAATGTAATTATCTTGTTCATTTTTTAATAAATGTTTTTATTACAAAATTGTTACATGCCAAGTTGACTTGAATATGATTTTGGCCGAGCTTTGCATGAATATCTCGCGCAAAAAATATAAGTATTTATTTAAAATTGTTTCAGCCCCAACTTACACTGAGAGTTTCATCCCGCACATAATAGCAAAATCCATGTGAGAGTTCATTGTAATGGTTGCAATGTAAAGACAGTACACCTGAGACTAAAATGAGATCTTAGTTGGTGGTTGGTTTCTATCGACTTTTGCACATAACATGAGTTCATGCTAATTGTAATTTTTATCCTATGACAATTTGAGCTTGCTTCTAAGTATACCTTTTACACAAAAAGAATCTTCAATCCTATGAAGTGTTTATCAATCTCTCTAGGTGTTCCAGAGCCTTTGATGCACAAAAATCGGTTACAAGAGTATGCTCAGAGGTCAAACATACCACTTCCCATTTATCAAACTATCAATGAGGGAGTTGTGCATGCTCCAAAGTTTAGATCAACGGTTTGGGTTGATGGAAAGCACTATACTTCCGAAAATGTTTTCTCTGCTCGAAAAGCGGCTGAGCAGGATGCTGCCAAACTTGCATATGAGCACATAGTGACAAATATGAAAGATGAAGGGCTTCCTGATATAAATATTCTTGAGGTTTGTTGGCTTAGGATCATAATTTCAATAGGAGCATTGTGCATTATAATTTCAATAGTACAATTTCTCTTTCTAGTCTCTATTGCTCTTTTTGTATATCATGTATATTGCTATAACATTGTCCACTCAGCATTATCCGTAGACTGAGTTCTTTTATACATTCTTAGGTTTGTTATTCTAATTGTCTTGGAATTAAAATTTTGTTGTAAACATGTCTGACTTATTTCATGGATAACATTTAATTCTAGCCGTCTTTATAATTGGATGGCTTCAGAGTGTTTAGTGTGATATACTGTATAAAATATATTTCCCACCACTTTACCTGACATTTTAAAAATTTATTTTGTCAAATACTTATTAGAGAGTGCAGATGTTAGATCAGTGGTATGCTCTTGGTTATTTCAAGCATTTCAACATGATCTGTTAAGCTCTTGAAGACATTCTTTTTCAACTTGTCTATTTTTGGTTGTTGTGGATGAATGATGAGAAAGAGGAACAGCTCATGTCTTCAGCCTAAAGCATTGGTATTTTGGGATACCATTTTTTTCCAATGCTAAACTGTTTGTCTATTTCTGGACTTTATTGAATCTGTTTGACATACCCTTAAGCTTGCCGCAAATGCTTGATATTTGTTTAGCACAAGTAATCTTCCAGAGTATTGATCAGTAATGTTCTGAAGTTGCATTTGATGTTATTAACCTTAGGTAATTTCATGTTGTGATTATCTTCCAGAAAACTATGGTTTTCAAGTCCATCTTATATGAATATGCTGCCAAGATGAATCTGGATAAAGTTACATATCGCACTGATCAGTTGGAAGGACATCCTTTTTTTATATCATCTTTGGTTTTTAATGGTAAACGCTATACTGGTTGTCCAGCTAGAACCAAAAAGGAGGCTGAGCAATTGGCTGCACGAACTGCTATTCTTTCAATTCTAAGTAGGTACCCTTTCGTTCATAGTTAATTGTGTGGTGACATTCTTTGTAACTATATTCATTTCATATGCAGATGATTCTATGTCTGGAACACGTCTTTCTGAGATAATAAAGTCAAAATTCAAATGTTGTGCTGCAATCATCAATGTGAAGGACTCACAACATACAAGTACTTTATCACATATGGGTAGCTCAGGAAATGTTTCTGTTAGTGCCGCTCCTTTGGCAGCTAATAATAATGAAAATAGTAAAGAAATTGAGGTTGTGCATCCTGAGCCCTCTCCTAGAGGGCATTCGCCTCAGCGAGAATTCCAGATGTCAAAACAAGAAAAATGCCCTGAAGACTCCAAGCTTTCAAATCTGTCTCAACAAGCAGTTGCACCACAGCATATTGATGATAGTTCAAGTTTGAAGAAGCGCAAAAGGAACAAGAAAAAGGCTAATAAGAAGTCCCTGCCGGATTCTCTGTAAGGTTCCTTAATATTTGAAACCTTTTATTAGTAGATTGTGCCATCATTTTCCTCATTTGCTTTTATATTTTCCTGGATAAACTTTTTGTCACTTGGTGTTAGGGCATAACTTATCGTGCGGACAAAAAATGGCAAGAAAAGAGGTTTTTTTGAGTCCTCCTTGTTTCACTGTTTCCAAAAGTTGTTTGGCTTGGTTCTGTGCTGGTATCATGATATCTGAAACATTTCCTTTTAAGCTTAACTCCAATTACATCTCCTTCATAGCTTGCCCACAGGGATTCCATGTGGCAAAAGTCAATCTACAGTGCTGTGTAATTTTCCATCAGTCCCCAAAACATATTAGATGTGAGAAGACCATATAAGATTATGTTTCTCTATAAAACACTTACCCAGTGCTTGGCTAACAAGAAAAAATAGGGAGGAAAGAAAATGGAGAGAAGAGAAAAGTGGAGGGATGTAATTTTCTCTCCTTATGCTCAGCTGATTAAGAAAAAAAAAACAGGGAGGAGGGAAAAGTCTTTAATTTCATATGGACAGTAATAACCTTATTATTTTTGGAGAGAAAAGTTGGAGGAAAAAATATGTGGGTTCCATATGTTATTTTTCTCTCAATTTCTTCCCCTCCCATTTTTCTTTTCTTGGCCAAGTAGAGGAAAATGTAGTTTTCCCTTCACTTTTCTCTTCCCCCTACTTTTCTCTCCGGCCAAACATAACATTAAATTGACTAGACATTCTCCTTTTGATATGTTTTGGTATTGCTGAGGCCTCTGTTGCAATAGACACAAGTTAAAGAAAAGAATAAAGGAACGAAAGTTCTGAGATGAAACAAACACAAGGAGGGCGTTGCAAATTCTGCATCCATGAACAAAGCCATTGTTCCTGTTAACAATTTAGATTTAAACAGAGCAAATATTGACACATTCAGGATCTATTTCTATGAGGTATTGGTGACTTTTGTTGGCCACAACTGATGTTTCAACGAAGTAATAGCTTTAGTGGACTATTGCCTTAATGCGGTAGTCGATTTATCTGTATTTATTATGAGTGCTAACTTCCAAACTAGTTGTGTAGAGGTTGGCAACTTCTCATTTGATCTTTGGACCAAAAGTATTCTCTCTTTTTCATTAAAGTCAAGTACAAGGTATTTTAGTCAAGGACCTCTTTGTTTCAATGTGATATTGTTGAATAGTTTCTCGTGCTCTCTTTGATGTGTTTTGATTTCGCAATGCCTCTGATACACGGCTGTCTTGATTTAGAGAAAGGGAAAGAGTTCTAAGATAGAACAATCTCAGGGAGAGAATGTATTTGAGTTTTGCAGAGAATATGGCTGCTGAATAGATTTTGATTAGTTTGAAATAATGAGTTTTAGCTGTCTGTCTTGTTCTTCTGGCTGCCAGTTGTTGCATTTCCACTTGTCCCAGTTGAAAGATCAAAACTTGGCTAGAATCCAATTCTTGTATCTTGTTTCAGGATTTTAACCCCTCTTTGCAGCATAGATTCTGTTATTTTCTTTTGGGCAATGGGAAGAAAGTAACCCTATATGACGGGACGAAGGCTTTAAGATGCATGCACTTCAAAATTAGCTGGCAATGTACAGCAGTGATTTATTTTGGTATATATATATATATATATATAATGATGATGATATTATGTCAGGTTACATTTTTCTATTCTATTTTATAAAACATACATTTTCTTATTCTAGTGCCTCGATTTACTTGGGCATGCACTTTTCTTCATGTCTTTCAGCTAAGGCATTTTAGAGGTCTAGCACTTTAAAAGCACCTTTCGCCTCTGACTACCATCCACCACATGTCATGCGAGATGGAATTATTAATGATGTGTTCTGAGTTTTTGTCAACAGATATATTTATCTTATTTGCTTGGAGTGTCTAACGAATAACAGGACAAAGGTTAAGTGAAAGGAAATTTGGTACAAAAAGCATTCTTTTAGAATAGGAATGGACTGGGGAGCAAAAAAGGAGACTTTGATGAATATTAAGGGACAAAGTTATCTTTTGTATAGAAAATGTGCATTGAGCCTTTAGAATACATGCTTCTCTTTTCTATCCATAACTATCATGGCCTCATATGTATTCTGCCCATGGGCCAAGACTCGAAAGAGTGGGAACAAGAATTTTTAATGTGGCTATGTAATTGTTACTTCTTGGTGTAGAAGCATGCCATATGACTAATTTGCATGTCTTTCTGTTGTGAAAATTTCAGGCTGCCAGTTGCTGCTTATCCTCTCCACCAAGCCCCTTCTCCAGCTACATTACCATTTCCTTTCAGCCAGCCTAGTTGTTCAGTGGCGCAGTAACATTGTAACCATGAAGGAATTTGTGTGATAGTGGCTCATTTTAGAATTCCTTTAAAATGAAATGGACAAGTTATTACTTATTAGGGAACTCCGTGGATATTATGTGTATAATTTTACCTTCATGTTTCCAGACCTTTGGTGCTGAATTTTGAAGGTGTGCCCCATCTGTAATTATTGAGCTGTTCAATGTCCTTAATCGTTCCCATGTATTTTTTTCTCCTTCTTTCACTGTCCATGATGAAATCAGCTTAAAAACTTTTTCAGGAAAAAATTATAGGATTAAAGGACAAATTTACCTTAAAACTTTTTTTTAAGTACGTTTGGTATTCTAAACTTTTTGTTAAACTAATATTACCCTCAATCTTTTAAAAACTGTGTAATTTTACCTCATTGTTAACTTATATCAAGGTTGACAATTAAATTAATTTCTTTGACCAAAAGATATCCACGTGGCAAGTTGAGGTTGACACTCCTGATCCTCTCTCTTCTCTTGGCTCCTTCCATCCTCTCCTCTCTCTCTCTCTCTCTATGTATATATATATATATATATGTATATATAAAGCAACATGTGAAATATTTATCTATCTTTGTTGTCCCTTGCATCCTTATTTTCTTCCTTGTATCCAACTGAGCTTCTCCTTCCTCTCTTATTTTACATCTTATACTCCAACCAAGTACAACGCATACATCCTTATGAACTCCAAGAATTCCATTGAGGTGGTGAAGAAGATCCCTTACTCATAGGTGGAATCTCTCTAATGTGCTTCTTGTTTAGCGGGAGTCTTCTTGTGCTTTGTTGCCTTGACAATGGCCATGTTGAGGTTGGCAATGGAGCTGGTGCTTCCAACCTTGGAGCCGATGCTTGTTTGATCCTTCACTGCCCCTTCATGCTCTTGCTCTCCTCTCTTCCATAGGTATACACACCTCTCTCTACTTTGTTTTCTCTCTTCATTGCCCCTTCTCGTTTTGCTCATCCCTTCCCTCCCTTTTTCTTGTTGTCCTTCATTTCTTCCTCCACTCATTTATGTTCTCAATAAGCACTCCACATCCTTGCTCCCTCTTTCAATTCCTCCCTTCCTTTATCTCTCATTAATTTTATTCCCTTTTTCCTTGAAAACTGCACTGTTAGTTGCCATGGAGCCTCCCACATGCAAGCAAGGTTCTCTATGAAATGTTTTGGTGTGGTTGCTTCTCTTCAATGTCTTCTCTGTGCTCCAAAGATTTGCTTACGTCAACATCATCGTTAGCGAGTCTTGCAATGTCGGTGCCATCTATTTCTTTTCTACCTCAAACTCAAGGAGTGTCAATATTTTGGTCTCTGACTTTAGTTATAGAGGCCTCCATGCTCGAGTAGCTTCATTCGACTACATTTCTCATTCTCCTAGTTATTGTTGGTTCACATACTTGAATTTAACTCAACTAGCCACACGGTGTCTATTGGTCAATAAAAATAATTTAACAATCAAAATTGGTGTAAATTAATGGTAGGGTAAATTTGAACTTTTTTTGAAATATTATGAACAATATTACTTCAACAAAAAGTTTAAGATACCAACCGTATCTAGAAAAAAAGTTTTAACATAAATTTGTTCATTAGCTCAAAATTATAAGTATTGTGGCTTGATATTATAAAATTACTGATTGTCATTTGTCATGTTGTGTCAGGCTAGACTGTTATAGTATCTATCAAGTGGGTGTCACATTAACTTTGTGAGTGCCAAAAGAAGAAAATCACATAAACATGCAATATTACTAAGTGCTCCAGATTTATGCATCGCAAATTGCATTCTCATCCAAATTGGCTCTTGTTTTGTTTTTCCGGTGCGTCTCATCTTTTTGTAACTGCTAACTGTAGGTACGTTATCAGAATGAAATTGAGAAATAGAAAAATAGAGGATAAATCACTTTCCTCTTGGTAATAAACCTTAGTTTTTTTTTCCGTAAAAAAATAGTTTTTTTAATTCTAATAATATTCATGCACGCTCATGAAATCATTGTAATTAACCTCAAAATATTATAAGAATAATACTGAATTTCTTATTTAAAATTATTTTTTGTTCAGAAATTTTAATTAATTTTATTTTGATTATATTAAGGTTACAAATTACAGCAAGATGTCAAATTATTTTAGTTATTCATGTGTGCTATTTTTACAGAATTAAGTAGTTTAAGGAGTCAGATATGAATCATTGGTTCACAAAAAAAGAACTGGATCCTTGGAATTTGCCTTTTGGTGAAGCTGGTGACATAGGAGACGGGCGACGTGGGTTGAGTTCAATTAAAACCCAAAAGAAAAAGAGAAAATTATAGTTAGGTCCCACATAAAAAAATTAATTACTGCAAGACTTATTGACAACTGAACTAAACTGCATCGACAACTGGTTGTGTTGTCAATACAGTTCCAGTTGTCGATGCAGTTTAATTCAGTTTTTAATAAACCTTGTAATAATTAATTTTCTTGTGTGAAACTTCAATGTAATTTTCTTGGTTGCTGAAATTAACAGTAGTGTAGGAAAAGGGACTCAAGCTGTGCAAGTTTGGTTGCTTGAATAGGAATAGTGATTCTCGGACCTCCTGGGATACCCCATTCCTTCTCAGAACCATTAACGGAATGGCCACCCATTTCAGGAATGATCGTATGATGATCGTTGTCCTTTATATAAAACTATATCTAATGAGAGGTGCTAGGTTAAAATAATCGGGAGAGTTAAATTAATTTAATGTATGTTTAGATTAAAAAATTTGCAATTGAGGTTAGGAGAAAAGTTTGTGACTGTAATGTCATTTATGTTTGGATAATTTTTTTTTGTCTAGAAATTAATTGAACAAACTAAAATTTATTTAAATAATTTAATTTAAAAATTAGTTAAAATGTATAATGAGAAAAATGGACATGAGTTTTGTTGTATATATTTTTGTGACTAATTTAACATTTTCAAGAAAAAATATTAAACATAAAATTATATTTATTTAAAATGTAGATTAAAAATATAAAATTGATAAGTCAAAAATCTTAATTTTTGAAAAGGAAGAATTAAATGGTAAGATTCAAAATACTCAATTATGAAAAGTTAAAATAAATTTATAAATTTAAACTAAATATGATATATATTTTTTTTGACAAATAAAATATTAAAATTATAAAATAAAAAGAAAACATATTCAGAACATTATAAAATTATAATGTTATATTATGGTGTTATACCATGATATTTTTGTTATGATTTTTCTTTATTTGTTCTTGATATTTTAGAATCTTTCTTATCTTCTTAAATTTCACATATATTTCAAATATTTTATATTTTAAATTCTAAATGTCATAAAATATAGAATTTTTATTTTATCAAAATTGATTGATATTTTATTTGTTGCATCAATATATTTATATACAATAATTATAATTATCTTATAATATTATAATTTGGAATAGAATATTGAGAAATAAATAAATTATTATAATATTATAATTATAATTATATTAAAATATATTTATAATTAATCCTCCTCCGCAGTCCACTTCTTCTTCCTCAACCCGCTTCATGTTGACCAGAATCATCAGATCCAGATTTAGAACAAGCAAGCACAACGGACAACAACTACTGCTGAACTCATGGGCTAACGAACAAGAGACGATGCAAAAACCCACAAACAATGGATAGCTAACTATGAATGGACACCAACCTCAACTGAGCCATGGCAAAACACACGAACAATGATGGCGGCGATTGCAAAGACGATGACAACCACAAAGGCTTGCTTGCATTTTCCAGAAGAGAGAAAATTGTGAGCTGCTGCAATGTTGATATATGTGGTTATCACCATGAAAACAACATCAAAAAAGAAAGTAGACTTGAAATTTGCATAGCTAATTTCATATGCAAGGGTAACAATGAAAGAGAAAACCCTATACCTACCACTGAACGACCTAGTTGCGTAGCCAAAATTGTTACCAATAGCCATAAACACAAGCAACACGCACGGTCAAGATCAGGTGGTGACAGCTATCTTCGGTTAGATCGCAGAGCAAAGGAGAAGGAGGTCAAGGGCGAGCAAGGGACGATGACAAAATGAAGAACGAAGGTGAGAAGTAGAGCAAAGGGAGAAACGAGTAGAGGTGAAGATAATGAAGAGAGAGAAAAGCATTAAATATTCCCCTAACATTGTACCACTCACCAACGCTCGGTGTAGAGAATCCAGATCCTCTTAGAAGCAGCGTCCCTTAGCGTGCCAAATCTCAGCCCTTCAATAAATATCCAACGTCTCATATGTTGGGATTTTTTTCATCAAAACATGATTTTTTATACTTTTGACATCCAACCTTGGTTTGGGACATCCCAGCTTAAATTAGGATGTAATCCAAACAAACACTTATTTCAGGATCTCAGCTTTGAGTCTTGATGCATGCAATTGTACTAAATAAATGTTAAGGGCATCCCCAACGTACTTATGAGGTTATTGTTGGTAATAATAATTTCACATAACAGGAGTTTAGATGAGAAGTGATAATTTCTCAAGTTTCTTAGGATACTGGGCAAAAGAATAAAAAAAATCCTACCCCTATAATATAAAATATAAATATAAGTCTTTTTTTTTTGTTCAAAGAACGAGTCTCATTTAGTAATCTACTCTTCTCTGTAATTAAATGTGAGAGAGCGAATTTATACTATGAAACTTGTACAACCTACTTTTAATAAAGGTAAGTTACAAAGTATTGCAATTTTTTTTTTTGACGAATTTAACCGACTTGAAACTCCCTTCCCTGGTCCTTGTGAAGTTATTTAAACAAGACCTATATTTTTTTGGCCAAAAAAGACTTAACTTTCGGACTGAAGGGAGTATTTTATAATAAACTTGGATCAATCATCATCAAAGGTGCGTTATAAATTCTTCAGAGAAATCAAAATTATTGGTCGATGGAAGTAGCATGGGAATTTTCAAAAGATAACACAAAAAGGAATTTAATTCATCAATAAAAAAAAGGAGTTTCCAAAGTTCATAGACTCAATAAGACAGTCTCCTGGAGACAAGGAAGTGCTGGCTTTTGTAATGCCAGCTCTTATTTTTGCTCTCTTTGTCCCAAAAATTAAGCATTATCTTTAAACCAAAACATGTGGATCATGATCTTCTTTGACTCTCTAAAAGATACACTTAACTGTCGATTGTCAGCTTTTGCTCAAAACAAAAAAAAAAAAAATTGTCTATTGTCAGCACCCCGGAAATTAGGTTTGGCCCAACAAAAGGTAAAGATAAAGAACAATAAGTTGACCACAAATATTCATTTTTGGTTTTAAAATTCAATCCAGAGGAATCTGTACTGGAATTGGAAAAAAATGGTGAAATTTTGTTGAATTTGTGCTCTAAACTTTTGATGGATTAAGTGGTCCTTAGTCCTTACTTGAAGATTGATGAATGAGTTATACCAAGTGAAATTTATACGTATGTCCCAGGCATGGATACTTATGAGTGCTCATGTGTATGCAAGTGTTGGGGGCATGTGTGGACATATACATTTGTATATTTGTCAGAATTTGCCAGCACTCGTGTGTGTGTGGTAAGTATACATACATGTATACATGCACATACGTGTGTGCATATTCCGCATGTGCTCATGCATTTCTTATCAAAAAATATATATATATATATAAGCTAAAATCAAGAATTCTTGTTATGATGGTTTTTTTATTTTGAAAACTGTCATTTCCATTTTCTTGGACTATGGTGTAGGGGAAAGTTATAGTTGTTTATATATTTTAATTATTCTGTGAGATTATTAAGAGCACCAACGAATAATTAACCATTAATGAGATCTCCAATATGTGGGAATCCACTGATTATTAGAATGAAGCAGTTTGCTTTCATTTTTGGGTTTTGTCATTGAGATTGAACTTTACTTATTCAGACTCTTGTATACAATAACTTGTTGATTACTCCAAGATTCAAAATTTAATTACTCAATTGAGATAGAATTACTTAATTATTTGATTAATTAATTTGAATAGCTCTTAACCTTTACACAAACCATAACATAATTTGTGTCCAATTGAGATTTTTAGCACTAGCCAACATATATATAACAAGCACAGTGTGTCTCACTTATATAAATTGACAAGTAGCAATTAAATTTAACAAAGAATATAACAATTAAATCAGTCAGCACACAAACTAATGCAAAATTAATCTCAAATGCACCAAGTATGCCCGTATTAGCCATATATACATTTATGAATTCAAAAACAGAATAACAATATTCCGTAGATCTAGTTTCAATTCATGAATTAAAGAGATAAAAAGGAGAAGAAAATTCTCATTTAAGTAGAGTTTATAGGTGCGTCCATTTGCAATGAAAGAAAGAAGTCTAGCAACTTATGGAGAGCTTCATCAATGAAATTTGAACATACTCCCTTAATCCCTATTATAAAACACATCTAGTTACCTCATCATAGTTAAGGAGAGTTGGTTAAGTCATTACTTTTGTCTTAAAATAGAACAAATTTTTAATTTTACCTCTATTTAAAAAAATTTACTAATTTGTATTATATTTTCTCTCATAATAAATTAGTTTAAATATGGGAAGTATTGAAAAAATGTAATTAATATCTCATCAAGTGTATATTAAGAATAGAAATTTTTTCTAGAAGGCAACTTATAATAAGGATCTGCAAGTACATTTTATTCAATTTAAAATGGTTTATATGGCCCATAAAAAAAATAGCCATCCTAATAAATGCTCAATCAAACCTACCATAATTACAAATATAGGGGATTGGGTCAGTATATAAAATAGGAAAATATAAAAACTATTCCAATTCAACTATAATAGTATCAAATATTATTTGATTACATTAACATCCCTTTAAACTTGGTATAGGGGAATGACAATATTCTTGAGCTTGTGCACCTAGATTCAAACCCAACATGAATTGTATGTGACTCTGAATAAGTTAGTCGACCATTTTGAGGTCCTAAATGGGGGGAGTCTCTAGTGACATGCTACAATAAAATGATAGAATCTCAATATATTTAATGTGCTCATATGAAACATGCGTCAGTGTGACCAATTTAAACTGCATATTTCCGTTCCAAAAACAGCAGCATAACATAAATTTTATTATTAAATAATAAATAATATGATAATACGATAATAAAATGTAAAGAAAGAAGCATCATCTCAGAACGAATTGGAATTAAGAGCACCATGACCAAGAAGAATGATGGGGGGTGGTCATAGAGGATTTAGTAATTGGAATGAAGCTCATACATACATATACACACACCTGGGCATCCAAAATTCAAAAATTTTTTGGTTTCATATCAATAACAATCATATATATAGATTTCAGTGAGCACTCAAATGGAACAATATAAAGCCCATACATGCCAATCAGTGTCACATAAACTTGTTCATTAAAACTAGTCTAGAGACAGCTGCACAGAATGTATAGCGTTTGATAATAAATTTAAGGTCCAAGTCCACGTGCTTAGGTATTAGAAATCCAAACGAAGGAAGTAAGAAGCCACCCAAGTTTCATCATCAATAGTGGGACTTAAACCCCAAATGGGAATCAAAAGAGACACTACGTGGGTTTTGCGAATGATACGGCGACCCTTTTGCTGTCTTTATCGATCTTCTTTTCTGCTTCTTCTTCATTACTCCCTGCCAGCTAACAATCCCAAGAACAACCTCCATTACTTAATGATTCTGCAACTTGATAAAGCCCCATTCTAGTATTTTACTAATAGATTTTGATTTCTTCTTCCCATTTCTTTATTGGATTTCTTCCATACAGTTGAGTTTTTTTAGTTGTCTCACTCTCATCTTCCTTATTAAAAAATTATCATTGAGTTGAACTCTTGAGCATCTACATATAGCCTGCTTTACTAGCTTTCTGTCATGCATACATATTCAAACCTTCGTGAAGTTTCTGCTTTGAATTCTGTTCCTCGCAATGGCTCTTGAGTACCACAAATCTGTGCTTGAGGAAGAAGATGGGTTCAGCAACGATTCTGCCACTACCCATTCTCCTTCTCCTCCTCCTCCTCCTCTGAGTGGGACTGAAAGTGGGTTGGTTTATAAGGCCATAAGCTATCATCCTGAGGAAGCACAGTCTCTAATCAACTTCAAAGCCAATAATGGTGGGTATAACACTGTCATGAATGGTGGTGAATCTTTGCTTAGCTTTCAGCAGAAAGAGTACTGTGTGTGGGAGAATAATAATGGTTTGCACCAGTGGAATCAGATTAGTAGCCCCAGAGCCACCACTTCAGACCAAAGACTGATTCAGGATTTTAATTGCATTCAAACTGCTAGTGGCCATGGAGGAGGAGGATCATCCTCCGTAGCCAATGATAACAATGGTGCAAAAAAGAAGCAGCAGCAAGGTGAGAGTACATATGGGTGGCTCTACTCTGAACTAAATGTTCCTTCTGATAACAGCCTTCAGGATTCTTCAGGAGCAAAAGAAGCATCTTTCCATAAGCGCCTTTCGATGGTATTAATTTCTTAAAAACAAAAAAAACAAAAACAAAAACTTTCTGTGTATATTACGGATCATAAATTTTGAGATCAACTTGTTTGTGTTTGTGCAGGGAGAGAGCATGCAGGCCTCGAAGAAGCAATGCACTGCTAGTAATGCTGCAAGTAAAACAACGAAACCAACAAAGTCAAACTCATCTAAGGATACTCAGAGTATTGCAGCCAAGGTTTGCTTCTATTCTAAGCCAAATTAATTATGTTTCATCTGGACGTACATACGTCCCATGGTTTGTTGATTACAGATTAAGCAAAGTTAAAATATGTTTCGTTCATGGTAGATAGAATGTTTGTCTCGCAGAATAGAAGAGAGAGGATTAGCGAGAGACTCAAGATACTACAAGAACTAGTTCCTAATGGCTCCAAGGTTGGTCTTGAATTATGAAGAAGGATCATGTTGAGATTTTTTTTGCAGAAATACTTGGAACGATGCACTGATTGTAGTAATGATGAACAATATTTCAGGTTGATTTGGTGACCATGTTGGAGAAAGCCATTAGTTATGTGAAGTTTCTTCAACTGCAAGTGAAGGTGGGAGTTAAAACACTAATCTCTCTTTCATCTTCTTCTTTTGCTCAATTTTGCAGTACTTTCTTGAAAATAATTTAATTTCCGGGTTAGATTCAAAATCTCCAAGTGATATTGATCCGATAATTTGCTGATGGAGCAGGTACTGGCAACTGATGAATTTTGGCCAGTCCAAGGAGGAAAAGCACCTGATATTTCTCAAGTAAAAGAAGCCATTGATGCCATTCTTTCATCCCAGAGAGACAGGAACTCAACCTCAATGCATCAGTTATGATCGAGATCATAATAATTAATCCAAGTCTGACTAAGAAAATTAAAGCCTTTCTCAAGAGAAGTTGATCGTTCTGAAGGGCATTTTAGGAATTCAGAATGAATGGCCTTTTCCTAATACTTTATTGTTACTTAACTTGTCTAAATATTAAGTTGTAAGCAGAGTGAAAAAATTGAAGAAGTTCAAGTATTTTCCTGGCAGTGTGCATGTACTGGGTCAGCAACTTATGTAATCCCAGTTTTATTGTCCACAAAGTATCAATATATATCTGCTTTGTCTTTCCTCTCTGTGATTAACAACTTAAACACATACACACATGTATGCACAGCTAATCTGATATAAATAAGTATCAACTGATCAGAATGAAATGTTGATACAAATTAATGCTACATTGTTCTTTGACTTTCTTCCAACTGATAATTCATATCAAGCTGTTACTAAGAAATTTCATCTGTCAAGGTGTGTCAAGCTGTTACATACATACATACATACATACATACATACATACATATATATATATATATATATATATATTCATGTGATATATGCACTGTCATGTCTATTAAGTAGAAACTGAAATATATAAAAGTCATTCCTTGTGAAAAGTTCAAAGGGTCTTATTGGACTTCTGCGAAAAGGAAAACGATCAGACAAAACTGTAGGTAGGATTATATTTTGTTTGAAGTTAATTAAAAGTGAAAAGGAACAAATATAGCTGGTGTGTATGTGTGTGCGGGAGAAAGATATTCTAATGTGTAATTAATTAAGCTTGACTTTAATTGCTAGAGACCAAGAGTTTTCATGCATGTCAGACTCGAGAAGAGTAGCGAGAAGCAAGAGAATATATTTTATTGATTAAAAACGTACAGGGATCAACTATCAATTAACAATTAATTAATTATTAGTGTGATTTGATTTTTTACTCCGACACATCACAAACGAAAAGAAGTATACGTGTTAACAAATTAACAGAGTCTGAATTCAAAACTGACTGACAACATGACCCCAAAGCACATTCAAAAGTTCTTTCATATTTTTGTTTTATACGGGTGTGTGGATATTTTTAAGAAAACATGGTTTTAGATTTGCAATTGATTTTAACATGTAATAAGAGTGTTTGAATATATTTTCACAAAATTATGGTTTTGACCTCAAAAATTAATTCCAAATGTTATCCAAACAGGCACTTAAAATTCCATTTATGACTGTATCCAATTTTAATTTAATGAATTATCTTGCGGCTATAAACAACCAGAAGCATAAACCAAACTAATCCAATCTGAACCAAAGACTCCAAAACTGAACTAAACTCTTCACTTTAAACTATAAGTCCAAAATTTTGTCAAACTAATTGTTTTGGTTCGGTTCTTTTTGAAGATATATGTTGGAATTATAAAAGATCAATCATGCATGCATCACAATTTCTCTTATCTCATTCGAAGTACTGATATATCCAAAGGTAAATTCTTGAATGCTCTCTTTTGCAATGAGGGTAAGAGCTTCCATAGAATCACTGCCCAAGATTTGTTTCACTTCCTTAGCTCTAGCAAAGTCCCCCTCCCCCCCGCCACACACACACACACACGAGTATCTCTTTCAAGATGCATGTTCAAAATTAACATTACAATAGAATGACTTCAACTTCATATTAAACTTAGATAGCATACGAATTATGATGTCCAAGTGTAGATTAAACTTAAACTGATACAGAAAGTCTCACGGTGAATAAAATTAAACTTAATAACTAATATAAAATAAAAAAATTATCCATAAATATGAGTCTTGGAATTTTGAATTAAAATTTGATGTCTTTTCACTACTTTTACATCTCCTCTCCATTTTCGGCCTTCACTCTCCATTTCTAATAGTTTAGATTGGTGGATTTGGATTTTAAATTTAAAACTTCAGGTATTAAAAATTCTTTATTTAAATATGGTTTTAAATTTTTATGAATCCAGATGGTGAAGTTGGCTCAAATCCAAATTTAAGTCCAAATTTCCCTATATCCAAACGCAATATTAAATCATGCAGAAAGCAGTCAATGCAAAAAATTAGCTGTATATTAATGCTAATGATCCATTGGATTTTACAAGCTTCCTTATGAGCACATATACGGACGTACGGACGTTGCATGTAGAAGTAGAACCAGATCTGAGAAAACCCAAGTTACATGCATCTAGTTCCAATATTATATTAATTGTTCAATTAATTCATAGTATACTGAGTTTTCTAATCAAGTATATATTTATAACATTATATCCAGGTTGAATTGAGCATGCTTCATGCTAGAATGCATATATGAGAGCCCGTACGATGGTTCAATTCGTAGCGTTCCTTTTGCAATGAATCAAATATATATATTGATCATCATCAGGAGAATCGGCACCACCGAAGACAGATCGATCTAGCTACTTTTTGATTTAATTAATATCTCTGATCAATGGCATATAATTGCATGCATCTAGCTTCTTCTTTTTTAAAAAGGAAAGAAAAGGGAAATTATTTACTGTGAATTATTTAGTATTGAATTTGATACTGTGTCTGTGTGAGGGAAGGCAGTGGGGGACCATTAATCACGTGTGGCTTTTAATTAGGATCACATGGCTATGCCTAATCACATGCCCAATCCCACAAAAATCGCTTCTTGTTATGACTATGCCTATTCATTCCCAATGAATTCTTTTATTTTTCACACATCTCAGTCTTACTCAACACACCACAAACATCCACATATAATAATATTATTAATTTCGGCACTTGAAATTACTTTTAGTTTTAATTATTCAATTGTTCGTATCTGATTTTCATTATTTTCCCTCATCATTGATTCCCATTTAATTTCCATTTCATTTCGTTATGTCAGAATACATCGAAATCAAACTGATAAATTGTAATTCATATATGCCTCTCTTTCGTCTCTTTTTCAAGTCATGATAATTTATACTTGAATTTGGTTGGTAATTAATTTGAATCAATTTTCCCAGTATAATTACAAAATGATTGTTGTAATATATATATATATATATATAAAGGCAAAATTCAGGAATAAAATCTCATAAAATTAGCATGAATAATAGAAACTTATTTCTTAAACAAGTAATTGGGATTTGAATTTCAGTTCTTATGCATGAAGTAACTTAGTTCAGAGATGTATGCCAATACCATTTATTTCTAGTGTCTCAAAGGAGATAATATTTGTTATTGATAGAACCTATTCCTTATACTTATAAAAACAACAAATAAATGGTATTATTGAAAAGGACACGTAAAATTAGTCATTTTGCGTGCATGTGTGGATAGAATTCCACGTACGTACATACGTGACTAGTATTCATAAACTTGCACAATTATAGCCATTTTGTGAAGGTTTTGTGTGTGTGTCATCAAACATTTGCAATAAATAAGTAATAAAACCCCATTCTCATACATGTTTCCTTCAACGGTTTTTTTTTTTTTTTGGGTGTGTGTGGATTTAATGCTCAATCATTAAAACCTAAGTCTTCTAGACCATTATGTTCTCAAAAATAAGGTGAATAAACAAATGAAAAAATCCACATGAGAATGACAATTTGTTATAATTTTCTTATAAAACTCCAATATTTTTTTCAAAGCAAAGCAAGCTTCTCTTTCCTTTCCTTTCCAGATTCAAATCTCTGACATTAACGCTATATTATGCTAATCTTTATTAGCAGATGACACGTAATGAACAACAACGATATATCCCAACATCGATTTAAGTAATTTTTTATATTAATATGAGATTGACAAATTAAATAATAAGAACCCAACTATAGGAAATTAATACGTGTAGACATCCTGTAATCAATCATCTAACCCCACTTCATTAGTGACGCATATATTATGAAGAATTCAAAGTCCAACAAAAAATGAAAAGGAAAATTATATAATAATTGAAACTCATGTGAGATTTAATGAGACTATTAGCTAAGGAATGGCGGGCTGTATTTTATATAATGCAATACAACATCCTCAGCAAACGCAAATATATATAATTACGACCAAAAATGGAATAAAACTGAAATGTGTTTAACTGTTTATATATTTCTGGCTCTGTCCAACATGGGAAACAGTCTGGTACAGAGAAATGAGGTCCCTTTGTTCCTTTTTATTTTATTAATTAATTGTAAAAGATATATATATATATATATATATAAGTTGGACGTCCTATTCATTTTCTTTTCTTTTCTTTTTTTATATGGTTTACAGGTATCTTCATGGTGGAATCAATTTTATTTGAGACTTGATTGAATGCTAACAATGTCCTATTCTGATGAGGGCAAGTTCAATATCTTTATTATTTAAGATAAAAAGTTTGGTCCCCTCTTCAACTTGAGATGACAAAATAAGATCAAACCATAGTTAAATTAATTTGTGAAAAGTTGTTTTTTTTTTTAATGGCGGAGCTTTAGTTTTAGTAATATATCTTTACGGCATAAATTTGGTTTCAAATGGAATATATTTGAATATTTTTTTGAAACAAAAAGGTTCAACCGTTTAGTTCAATTTCAATTTTTTTTCTAACTAAATAATATACTACCTCTATTAAAAAAATGTAAGGCATATCTAATCAAATCACACCTCCAATAAAGTAGTTAGTTATCTTTAAATTAATACTATATTTTTATATTTACCCTTATTTATTTGAGCATTTCACTTTAAAATAAATATAAAGTAATCTATTTGTTAGGGGCACTTAAAAAAGATACATTAATTTGAAATATTAAAAATACTTTATATTTTTAATACTTAACCCCTTAAAAAATGCATTATATTTTGAATAAAGGAAGTATTTTTTAAAATTAAAACATCCTACTATATTTTTACGAAGAATAATTTGGTCAAAAAATAAAAAATATTTATGGTTTTCAGTTTTAACAAAATTAACAAAAGGTTAATCAAACAAATTAGGGTAAAGGTGCGAATTTAACCATATATATTTTTCATGGAGCAGCCGGTAGTCTATACTATTAATTGGTTCAAAATAAATGCTGAACTATGAAAAAGGGAGTACCTAAAGCCTCTCGTCAAAACGATAGTCACAAACGTTAGTTAGCTTGGTGAATGTACAATTTTGACCCGAGCTGTGTGTAGTGGCTTCAGATGTGGCAAAATTTAATCTACCTAGTGTCTACGTGGTGGAGGCTGAAGATAAAAGCATTCAATAAGTGCGCGCCAGGCCCTAACCTAACCGAATGCCTCCTCGAGCCAGTGTTGGTTGTATACTCATCTGGAGCGAGCTTGAGTGTGAGTCCCTTG